CTATTCATTATTATCATTATTATCGCTGTTATTATTAATATTATTATCATTATTATTGTTATTATTAACTATTGTTATAATCATTACTATTAGTTGTTGTTATTACATTAATATATGTTTTAGCTTATATAAAAAAAATTATGATAACCTCGAATGTTAGTGAAATAACTTGATGCATTTCAAAATTGATCAAATTTTTTGAAAATAAATTTTCTTCACATAAAAAAATGTGAAAAACCTAAAATTCTCCAATTACTTTTTCTAATTGAGAGATTTGATGAAATGTTTAATTTTATCACATTTTGAGGCATTTTATTTGTTTCAAAAAAATTAAATGTGAATTTAATGTAAAATATTTCTTAGAATTTTCCAAATAAATTTCGAACAATTTTCAGAATTCAATATGCAGTTCTGCCGATATTTTGGAACGACGAAATCTTTCAATGTTAGCAAAAACTGTCTTGGCCCTCAATAAATTTAGTTCATCAAATGCTAATACACGAATAGTAACAACAGTGACTACTGCTACAGTAACAACAACAACAACGACAACAAGAAGAACATTAACGGCAACAATGGTTCAACCTCACGCTCAAACTAATGTTTGAATTTTTTATATAACATTTAACAAATTTGATTTAATTTCTTGGGAAGTCAGAATTGTTCATTTTGAGAAACCATGTTGGATGATGTTTGTTTTTAAATTATTGAAATTGTTAGTTATTAAATTTATTTACTTGACACTATATATGGTGCTATTAATTAAAATATGAAATTATTGTACTTTCCATTATTTATTTTTTATTCAATTTTATTGAAAATAAGTATACATTTGGATTGCAGAGGAGATTTTTAACAAAAATTTTGGATAATTTATTGTTAAAGAAAATATGAAATGCTTTTGAATTGAAAAAAAAAAAACATTTAAATGATTCCAAGATGTCGAAATTTTTATTGGATGGCTTTGATTTATAGAAATTTAAGTCACTAATGAATTTATATGCTGATTTTAGATTTATCAATTGTTGTAACTTAATTTTTATTAAATTTTTTAAATTATTAGGTTAAAAATGATTATGATTGAATATAATCAAATAGGTAATAAAAGAAGTATTTTAAAAAAAATGTGTTTTTTTAAAAATTTTTCTCTATTTTCCGTTAGCTTTAATATTGCTAATGTTCGATAAACAATTACTTTATGTATGCATTATGTTATATAAGTATACGTTTCGTTACGTATACATTGCATGCGTATTTTCTATGCCTTATATGAATAATACGCTCATTTTCATTCATTTCTCTCTTATTTTTTTATCCCTTTCTTTTCTTTTTTGGAATTAATCAAATATAATTTTTTTATTGAATGTACTATCATACTCGAAATTATCATATTTATCATTTATGAGATTATGGTTGCATCAAATGATTGTTTAATTATGTTCAGTAATAATTAACCTTAACTTATCATATTTGAATCAAAAGTAGGAAATACAAAAATATTCATGTTATTCACGTAAACTTTACGCTCTCAATCACTATTTGATTTATGCGCTGCTTCGCTATTCAAAACTTATTTAGTAAAGTTTTCCAATTTTTCTCATGCTACAACCATATTGTATCAGTGCTTTCTTCCACTCCCTCTTTTTTTTGTTATAATTCAACAAAACGATAATTATTGAAATCCATTGTGCTATCACTTCATGATATCAAATAAACATTTTGTCTAAAAAAATTATACATATTGCATTTTCCTCCAGTAAGAAATTGAAATAAGAGCGTTTTTACGTCCTTTTTGACAGAAAAATCAAAATACAAGAGAAAAGTTTAGATAAGTTCTTAGCTTTTAATAATTCTTAATTAATTTAAATCTTTTTTTGTTACATAAAATGTAACGGAATTTTTATTTCCTGCTAGTTTGTATAATAATAGTAACTAAGTATTTTATGCAAAAGATGCTACCAATTTTTAATAATAATTACCATATTTAAATTTAGTTGGTCCTTTTGAGCTATTTTTAATTAAAATTGTATGACCGTATCATCCATGCATATATTATATAGCTTAGTACTAAATTTGCAGTAATAAATACCTTTCTAATTTAAATGCTATTGTAATTTAAATGTAACATAAAATAAAACAAAATTTTATTTAACCAGAAAGAAGAAAAACAACTTTTCATTCAAATTAAAATGTTAGTTTAAATTATATTCTTAAAAGTCGCACCTTTTCCAACTTATATGTGAATCAAAAAAAAGACAATTTTCTACCAAAATTTGAAATTCTATTATCCGTTAATGCAAAATATAAGTTGAAAATTATATTAAGCCAAAAAAAAGAAATATAAAATGAAAACTTTGTGGTAAAATTAAAAGATCAGCTTAGCAATTTCAATTTTAAACTTTAGATTACTTATTTACTGCTATTACTACCATTGATAATTAATGATTATTAGTTATATATTACTAAATTTGTAAAATAGAATGAATTCAATAACAGTCAGTAAAAAATTTACTTTTATTACAAAGCTGGCGGTATACATTTATTGCAGTCTTGCTTTTCTGGATCATAACCTTCAATTTGTACTGTACTTTCTAATACATTATATTTATCTCGTAACATTTGCGTTGTTTGTTTTAAAATCCATTGAGCGTTTGCGCCTGGCGTAATTTCCAAATGTACGCTTATTGCTATTTTATCAAGCGTTAATGACCATATTCGTAAATTATGCACTTTTTCAACACCGTTAATTCGTTCCAATGAATCGAATACAGTACGAAAATTAATACTTGAGGGTGAACCTGAAATACTGATTATTTTCCTAAAAATTTACAAGAAAAATGATAACTTTATAAATTAAGAAATAATTTATTAATTAAAAATTTTTATTGCATAACAAAATAATGATTACTATTTTGAAATGATAAAAAATAATTGCGAAATATTATCATAAAAATGATTACAGTAAATTTATAAAATGAAATGCTAGGCTAGAAATTTTTCATTTAAATACCATAAGTTATTTATAGATAAATGGATTAATTAAATATTTTGATTGAAATGTTATTGGAACATAAATAAGAAAAAATGTTTGAGAAAGCGAAAAGTTTAAAGAAAAAGATCAATGATATTTAAAAATTGATATTAACTTTCGAAAATTTCATAAATTCAATGATTGTATAAATATGTGTGTTAATGATACAATAGAATTTTAAAAAAAGTAGCAATAAATAAGATGTAGCCAATTATCCTATAACATAAATGAAATTTTATTTCAAAATTTGAATTTTTTTAAGAAAATTTAAAGAACGAGTAAATAATACAAACTAATACATAAAAAAGTACCTTCCAGTAGGACAAACATTGCATCTCGAATAATGTAAATTGTGGTACAAAGGACGGTAATTGAAAAAAATAGCGTACAGATAGGATCTGCTATAGACCACGATTTCTAAAAAAGTTGAAATTTTCAAAATTTCACTGAAATCAAATTGGATTTCAAAATCAGCCTTTCTTTTATTTGATATTCTTATAACAAAGAAAAACGAATAGTTTGCATCTTTTTTTCAAAGCTTTGCAAAAAGTTTGTTTAAATCCTCGAATTTCTTTCAAAATAATTATTTCATCTCAAAGCAAAAAAAAAAGAACAGAAAGAAATTTTTTGAACGTTTAAATTTCAATCTTGTTTACTGATAAATTTGATCACATGAGCATTCTAATTATTTCACTTCATCTGCTAATTTTACTGAATTTCACCTAATTTCAAATTTTGCAACTTAAGCTTTACTTAAATTATTAGAAACAATAACTTTGAATACTTTGTAGTAAGTTCTCGATGGATTACTTTACTTAATTTCTTGATTTTACTTAATTTCAAGATTTCAAACTTAAAGTTTACTTACATTGAAAAATATGAGCATTGCTGCAATAAGTACCCCAATACTTTGTAATAAATCCCCGATAACATGAATCATAGCTGCCCGTACATTAATGTTGGCAGTATTACCCGAATTTGTACAGTGCGACAAATGCATATGACCATTATGAGAATGTGTATGTCCTCCAAAATAGAGTAATATCGCCATACTAAAATTTCTACTTTCATTAAAAAAAAACTGACTGCCTTTTTTAAAACAATAATACCTATAATCTCGCAATTATATTAATTTATCAAAAATGGATGGTATTCTAACTCGAAATCAATAAATCAGTAATTCATTTTTAAGTATTATATGCTAATATTAGTTTTTTTTTCGTATTTGATAAAAATCTAAATTGAATTTATCCACGAATTATTTAAATTTTGTCTGCCTCAACTCTAATTTTACTCATTTTTCCGCATTTTTTTTTACCAATAAATGCCATTAATAAAAGTTCATTTATTGCTTATAAGTTTATTTTATCACTACTAAAATTTAAAAATTAATCATCGAAGTTTCATCCATTTTTGCGTCATATCAGAATTTGCATTAAATCAATAAGTGTTTATAAAGTTAAAAAAGAATGAACAGTTTGATGGATAAATTTTACATGAAATTAACGAAAACACCCAATGCTGCAGTAATTGCCATAATAGAAGCGTCAATATGATAGGAATCTCGAGTGATCCGATCGATAGCCATATAAACTAATATTCCGGTTATGATCCAAATCATAAAAACGGAAATAAATGCACCCATTACTTCTGAATTATTTAATTCATTATTATAATTCTTAATTTAAAATTTTAAGGACTGTTTTTTTTGCTATGTAAACAATAAAGAAAAAAAGGGATTTGCTATAACTTTCACACATTTTCTTTTTTCCTCTTTTATTGATTAAATTTTTCTGAGAAATCGAAACGAAAATATTTAACTATCGAGTTTATCAGCCGTTTATATTTCATTTTGTCTTTTTCCCCAGCAATAATTTCGCAAAAAATTGCATAATCACAGGGATTTTTACTTTAAATAATTAATTTCACTAATTTCAATATTATCAATGAATATAATTTATCAAACAAAAAAAATAGGAATTAATTCGATCAAAATGAAAATTAAATGAATTTAATTGAAATTAGATTATGTTAGTTATTTGCTTATATTAACTCAGTAGCATGTTTTAAAACAAAAAAAGTTAAATACCCGCACGGTGCCAGCCAAAACTCATTCGTTGTGATGCGGGCCTTTTTGACATGTAAAGAGCAAATAATGATATCAGCATACCGGCGAAATCAGTTAACTAAAACTTTTTTTTCAAAATTTAAATTACATTTCATATAATAAAATTAGATATCTTTGCATGTTAACAATGAAATCCAAAATTTTCATATTAAAAAAGGAAACATAAATATTATCTGTTAATAAAAAGAAAAAAATCAATATAAAAAAGAAAAAAGAATTCGTAAGAAATTTTTAATATTTAACTAAATGTGCTGCATCGGTAATAATTGCAAGAGAATGAGCTAAATAGCCACCGATAAGTTCAGAAATGATAAAAATTAAACAAATAATAGCAGATGTCCAAAGTGTTCGAATAGCTCGTCGATCGGTGGTTGGTTGTACATTTTCATCACTGTGACAGTGAAATTCTTCAACCAAATCTGTTACTGAT